GAACGCGGCACACATACTACACACAAGAGCGCGTACAACGGCAACTTTTTCCTTATGCTTACGGTTGTCGAATACAGCATTGACGACACACCAAGACACACAGAGGAACACAAATTAGGGTCTACAATGTACACACATACAGTACATGTGCATGCACAATGTACATGTATACACAGCTATGCGTTTGCGTGTTTTCATGCTCCCTTCAAAGGTTTATTATAGCAATAAAAACTGCTTTATGGCAGTTTTCTAAAAAAAGTTATTGTGTTCTAGTCCATGGACCCCGTCTAAAAAGTAAGAAATTAACGAAATGTGATAGCTGAAAATTAAAATTTCACACAAAACCTCACAATAATCACAACACTTAAAATGCTGCTTTCAACACTAAACTTGTACTGCACCAACAATTGGCAACATGCATGCATAGGAAAGAGGATCACGAGGGGAAAAGGTCTTCTGCATGTAGCTTTTCATTCTATGTGTGATTATTGTGAGGTTTTGTGTGAAATTTTAATTTTCAGCTATCACATTTCGTTAATTTCTTACTTTTTAGACGGGGTCCATGGACTAGAACACAATAACTTTTTTTAGAAAACTGCCATAAAGCAGTTTTTATTGCTATAATTTCTTTTGTTTTTTCTGTCACCAATCAATGGAATGCCCTATATCAATATGTAAATGATGGCCTTCACATCATATCACCAAGAGTACATAACCCCCCAGAGTGTGCAACGCCTGATCCAGCTCTGCATAGGGTCTTGGTCGAGCGGAATCGGATCTTTGCGTCATAATACCGTACACATCTGAGGGGAACCCGGGGAGTCGCGGGTACTCTATAATAGGATCAAAAACAATGGTGCCCTGCCTCGAGACCGGCCTTGCGCTGGTGTGAAGTGTACGCATGACATCAGAAGATCCGATTCCGCTCGACCAAGACCCTACACAGAGCTGGATCGGCGTTGCACACTCTGGGGGGTTATTTAGAAAAGCGATCCTGTCAGCTTTTCTATTATTGTGTTCACATGGCAGAAAAAACGACATCGCTATGCTACGTAAGTTTCTACGTAAGGTGCTCGGTATTTCACTTAGGCTACGTAAGTCTCTACGTAAGGTGCTCGGTATTAGATCTACCAACGCGTGGTAGCCGTGTGCTGTGCACGTGCACGGCAGACATTGTGTTCAGTGCATGCAGTCCGCGGATCCGTGTTCGGATGTGCATGCGCGAGGAACTACTTTACTTCCTTCTTTGGAACTGCTTCTTGCATGAACTGTTTCGGATATTTCGTCTCCTGGCCTGGCTTATTTCGTTTCGGCGCTGCTGAGACCTCCTTTCGCGGAATATTACTCAATGACAGGTGAGTTGACCAGTTGCCTTTGATTCTGCTTGTGTTGACTCTTTCATTCAGGAAAAGTGTGCTGATTTTAGGGCGGAAATTAATAATGGAAAAGTTGACAGGATCTCTTTTCTAAATTTTGCTCTTCTGCTGCCGAGCTGCGAGGCCGCCTTTTACGGAATACTCGATGACAGGTGATCTCTAAGTTGACCGGTTTCCTTCGATTCATTTGCTTATGTTCACCTTTCATTTACGGAAACGTGTGCTGATTTTATTCGGATTTAGATCCATTTTTATCTCTTTGCCCTTGTCTACAGTGTGCGAAGAACGCGAGTTCAACTTCTTGACGGTAAGGCTTATGTTAGATGTGTTGTCGAAATACTCATATTCATTGTACATTGGTACGTTACAAGTAAGGCACTGGTCAGTGGCATACTATCGTTGGCAGTTCCCAATCTGGAGGGAAAGGTTCAAGTACCAATTGACCGAGTTTGCAAAATAAATTCGCATATCAGGGGAAATCTCTATTGTGGAGAGGTTCAGTAACTTGTTTGTTTCATACGAAACAAGCCAATGGGCGCAGTCTCGTGAAAATCTCGAACTTGTATGATTGGATTTGTTTACTCAAGTCTGGGCTGTTTGATTTGTGAGTACCGCCGAGATTGCACTGCCCCAAATAAAGTTTCGTGCCGCCAAAGCAAGAATTGCGATCTGCAATCTGTTTGTAGTACCTGTAAGAATGTGGAGTACATGTATCGTACTTTCTCTGTTGCTGTTTCAGTTGCCGTCATGTTGCTAAAGAAAGGTTCAGTAGAGAGGTTCTGCAAAACGAAAATTCGAACGAAGTTTCGCGACAGTCCTTGCGAAAGTGTGTGCGAATTTTTGCACGAACTTTGCGTTCTGCACATTTTCGTAGTTTGCGCGGGCCAAGTGCACGTATGCCATGACCCGATCTCACGAAATTTCCTACGACAGTTCATTTCGCGTTCCCTGCAAGTTTCGCACTTCATGATGTAGAGCGAAAGTTTGTACGCATTTCGTTTTGCAGAATCTCTCTAGTGACTCAATTGTTTCATACGAGACGAGTCAATGAGTCGGTGTGGCTAAGAATCTTTCGCTGTAGAAGAAATCTATTCGTATGTCTATTGGAGATATATTTGTGTTCTCTGGTTATAAAATAGGTTAAGCTCACAGAATAAATACCATCGTTCCGTTGGTGTTCGTCCTAAAGAGGTCCTAAAGAGGACTAGATATCATTCATACTCACCAAAAGATGTGTAAGACTTTATTATTGTGGAGTGCCTTGTTTATCTCTCAGTACCTCCAACCATAGCCTTGCCCCTTTTCTCCTCAGGATCAGTGTAGTTGTTGGAACGAGGTTTTGGACTCAGCAATGTATTCGTTTACATTTTAATACATGTTTATTGTTCCTCCTTTGCTGTGTTGTTTTAGACAATCGTGGACTAACAGTTTGAAGTCATTGAACTACTTCGAAAAGTTGTATCGACATCGACACGGTTACGATTTCAGTTTCAATATGATGCTGGATGACCTTATCACGATAACCCATGACTATAAATCATTATAAACACAGAATCAACAAAAACATCTGCGACACGCACCTGGCGCATGTCTACATTTCTCAAATAAATCTGATTATTTATTATTATTATTATTATTAACTTTTATTTTACTAGGGTGTTTCCCACAGACCTATGGTCTTCTTACGGGAGCCCCTAGGAAGGTTATGCATGAGCGAATAAATGAGCGGTAATCGGTACAAGTACGAACAGTGGAAGGCAGCATATTCCACCGGTCAGCAGCGAGATAGCCAATCCGAGAAAAGCCAGATTGAGGGTGGAGAAATCTGAAAGGCAAGACAATTTCATGAAATTCTGCAACAGCAACATGCACAGAATGGCCTCCGTATAAAAAAGTATCACCACCACTGCTCACATGTTTCCCCACAGAAGAACATGCATTATGCTAGTGCCATTTTCTGCAAGAAAAGGCTTGCACATCAATGCGTATAATATGGTATTGATATGATGTGAAGGCCATCATTTACATATTGATATAGGGCATTCCATTGATTGGTACATGGTGACAGAAAAAACAAAAGAAATTATAGCAATAAAAACTGCTTTATGGCAGTTTTCTAAAAAAAGTTATTGTGTTCTAGTCCATGGACCCCGTCTAAAAAGTAAGAAATTAACGAAATGTGATAGCTGAAAATTAAAATTTCACACAAAACCTCACAATAATCACACACAGAATGAAAAGCTACATGCAGAAGACATTTTCCCCTCGTGATCCTCTTTCCTATGCATGCATGTTGCCAATTGTTGGTGCAGTACAAGTTTAGTGTTGAAAGCAGCATTTCAAGTGTTGTGATTATTGTGAGGTTTTGTGTGAAATTTTAATTTTCAGCTATCACATTTCGTTAATTTCTTACTTTTTAGACGGGGTCCATGGACTAGAACACAATAACTTTTTTTAGAAAACTGCCATAAAGCAGTTTTTATTGCTATAATGTACTCTTGATATTACCAGGGAGTCGTAAAATACCGGGAGGCGACACGCCACACATTTCACGATCCGAGGATTGCCGCACTCGACCCGCGAAATTTGAAGCGTGATTGAAACGTCGTCGTCATCTTCTTTTTCTCAATTGTTTTTGCTATATGCTTCGAGGCTATTCTGGATCTCCAGAGCGAAAGCTGGTTGTTTCTGATACGTACCACGCATTACCTTAGGTTGAGCCGTGGCTTTTAATTTTTTTTTGGAAGTTCACTGCTTTGGAGACGACGGAATGTCAAGGTAAGTTATTCACGAAATGTACTCAAATTTGAATTGAGTCAATGCGAATGACACCCTGTTTTCGGAATAGTTCTCCACTAAACACACCATGCCCATGGCCCCTTCATGTTGTCCAAGTTCCATTCTAGGTTTGTGTGAAGTTTCGAGATGAAGTTCGACGATGTACTCACCTTTCCATGGAAGGGAAAAAAAGTAGCATATCAAACAGAATCCATGCAGTATTTGATGCCACTATCCTCATTCTTCTGCATTCAAAGTGTTTCACATCTATATGGCCCATGAACTGCAAACAATATTAGTCATTTCTTAACTGTTCATAGCTGTTCATAACTGTTCTGAACACATTGCCTTCAGGAAACGTAAGGCCGAGTCGCCTCACCGACTGAGCAAAGTTCTCTGAGACGAAAGTCACACTATCGGCGAATGCACTCAAGGTGAATACCCGTCAATATCCTGTATACTGCTTGTACCGCTTATCACAGTAGCATACACACAAGCACACATACACACACACACACACACACACACACACACCACACACACACACACATGCATGCTCGTGCACACACAAGCGCAAAATTCACATATCACTGGTTCAGTTGTTTTTATCTGTGTCGTATTTTGTCTTATACAGAGCTTCCGAGCCACGCCGAGTCACCTGACCAACTGAAGAAGGTTCTGTGCGACGAAAGTCACACTATCGGCGAATGCACTCAAGGTGAATACCCTGTGGACTGCTTATACCACTTATCACAGAAGCACACACACACACACGCACACACACACACACACACACACACACACACACACACACACACACACACACACACAAGCGCAAAATTCACATATCACTGGTTCAGTTGTTTTTATCTGTGACGTATGGTGTCTTATACAGAGCTTCCGAGCCACGCCGGGCCACCTGAATTCTCCAAACAAGGCTGAAGGCTTGTCACGGCATCCTTGCCAAATAAAGGTATAAGCTGCAGCAAGTTGTCGTTGCGACACCTTGCTCCTTCCAGCTCACGCCGCACGGCCACCAAGCACCAACCACCATGGTACTTTTCAGCAAGGTGAGACAAATTGTCAATCACCGGTTCGGGGATGGCTTCAGCAGCTTTGGATGGTGCTATTGACGCTTTCCTGATAGCAGCGGCAGCCGTGGCATGCAGGTAGCTTATCAGATTCGCTAGCACAGCAGATGTAACTTCCAAATCTGAAGAAGAGAAAAGAAAAAGACAACATATAAGGACTGGTGGTTGCAGAGACTGTACTAGTATTCAAAAGCCAGCGTTTGCATACCTAGTCTGCATACCTAGTCAGAAGCCAATTTTTTTCCAACATGCATGCAAAACGCACTGACCTTCACAATTGATTTTCACTTCGGGAATAGCTGTTGCGATGACGGACAGCATTTGTTGCCATGCTTGCGAAATATCAGCACCCTTGCATGCCTTCAGCTGGCACACTTCCTGGCGTAGCAGATTTGCAGTACCTGATGCCTTGTGTAACCGTGTCATAATAACATGCAGGAATGACTCCGTCGCCTCAGTAACACTCGCCTGTCTCATTGTCAGCAGTTTGCAAATTCCATGGATCACTGCACCTTCCATAGGCCTGTACACCATGATGGCACTACCACTCTTACATCGATCTGCACATAGACAAAGTATGGTTTGAGGATGGAGGTTTACATCATCTACGGTGATGATACATACTAGGTACACACGTAAATTTTCAGGACTTCAATAAATATCCTGTCACAGTGAACAGACAATGCATCGTGGGCAGACTAGGATGAAAAGGATGGTGTCGACCACCTAATTTATCGGGTCAGTTCGGGCACTTAGGTATGCTACAGATTATACATTCGTGTCCACAAGGAAGAGACAAAAACATGCAAACGAAAGAATCTCACCTGTAGCCCACAGCTGAACATCCCCACAACTCAGGTCACCAAGTGAATACGTGGCGTCATCTACATCTTCCACGGTGGACTCATCACTTTGGCAGTCATCTCTGTCAAGCTCCATCATCCTTTACTTCGAAGGCCAAGGCACAAAGTATTATTACTTAGAAAACAAAACGAACTGCTGACACTGGATTCGTTGTGTGCAGGATAATTTTATTGAGTTTTCAAATTTTTTGGACCAAACAGCGAACGCGTCCTTTGGCATGACCTGCGCCGCTTTGACCTCATGGGAAGTCCCTCGCCATGCAGCGCGTGAGGTCTCAGCACTCGTGCCCGAGCTGAGGCAATCATCCGACGCGGTTGTGCATCTCGTGTCGCCTCCCGGTATTTTACGACTCCCTGGTTAGTGCCATTTTCTGCAAGAAAAGGCTTGCACATCAATGCGTATTAAAGCAATAAAAACTGCTTTATGGCAGTTTTCTAAAAAAAGTTATTGTGTTCTAGTCCATGGACCCCGTCTCAAAAGTAAGAAATTAACGAAATGTGATAGCCGAAAATTAAAATTTCACACAAAACCTCACAATAATCACGACACTTGAAGATCTAATAGTACGGCTTTCAACACTTGTTTATTCCGACACTTGTACTTATACAAGTACATGTACTGCGCCAACATGCTTGCATATGAAAGAGGACCACGAGGGGAAAAGGTCGTCTCGCATCCTGTGTGTGATTATTGTGAGGTTTTGTGTGAAATTTTAATTTTCGGCTATCACATTTCGTTAATTTCTTACTTTTGAGACGGGGTCCATGGACTAGAACACAATAACTTTTTTTAGAAAACTGCCATAAAGCAGTTTTTATTGCTTTAATTTCTTTTGTTTTTTTTGGCTAAAGGATATAATTGTGTAACCAATGGAATGCCCTAATGATGGCCTACATATGTAGCGCCTCTGCATGTTATTATTATGATTTTATCTATTTTCCTAGGGTGTTTCCCACAGACCTATGTTCTTCTTACGGGAGCCCCTATGTGTATCATATCAAATTCAATACCGTGTTATACGCATTGATGTGCAAGCTTTTTCTTGCAGAAAATGGAACTAGTCTTGCATACATGTATTCATGTTCTTCTGCAGGGGAATCATATGGGTAGTGGCGGTGATACTTTTTTTATACGCAAGTCATTCTGTGGATGTTGCAGAATTTCATGACTGTCATAAAATTGTTTTGTCTTTCAGAAAATTCAGATGTCCACACCCTAAATCACATTTACTTGAGAATTGTAACCAGGTGTGTGCCGCAGATGTTTTTGTTGATCCTGTGTTTATAATTGTAGTCATGGGTTGACGTGATAAGGTCATCCGGCATCATATTGTAGTGAAATCGTAATCCTGTTGATGTCGATAAAACTTTTGGAAGCAGTTTAGTGACTTCAAAGTGTCCACGATTGTCTAAAACAACACAGCAAAGTAGGAACAATAAACATGCATTAAAATGTAAACAAATACATCGCTGACTCCGACACCTCGTTCCGACAACTACACTGATCCTGAGGATATAAGGGGCAAGGATATATGGTTGGAGGTACTGAGAGATAAACAAGGCACTCCATAATAGTATAATGTTACACGACTTCGGGGGAGTATGAATGATATCCAGTCAAACCTCTTTAGGACGAGCATCAAGGGACCGATGGCATTTGCTCTGTGAGTTTGTGTTAACCCTATTTTATAACGAGTGAATACAATTATTTCTCCAATAGAGACACGAATAGATTTCTTCTACAGCGAAAGATTCTAAGCCAGACCAAACCATTGACTCGTCTTTTATGAAACAAATGAGTCACTGAACCTTTCTTTAGCAACATGACGGCAACTGAAACAACAACAGAGAAGATACGATACATGTATAGCACATTCTTGCAGGTACTACAAACAGATTGCAGATCGTCATTCTTGCTCTACCGGCACGCAACTTTATTTGGGGCAGTGCAATCTCGGCGCTACTCACAAATCAAACAGCCCAGACTCGAGTAAACAAATCCGATCGTACGAGATTTTCACGAGACGAGACTGCACCCATTGGCTTGTTTCGTATGAAGCAAACAAGTCACTGAATGCATGAACCTCTCCATAATGGAGATTTTCCCTGATATGCGAATTTATTTTGCATACTAGTACTCGGCCAATGCATCCTTGAACCTTTCCCTCCAGATTGGGAACTGCCAACGATGCTATGCCACTGCAAAATTCAGATTCTACCCTATGATCGGAGCACGGAATGCCGGAAGCAATCACGACCAGTGCCTTACTTGTAACGTAGCAATGTACAATGAACATGAGTATTTCGACAACACATCTATTTAAAGCCTCAGCAGCAACATAAGCCTTACCGTCAAGAAGGTGAACTCGCGTTCTTCGCGGCAAGGGCAAAGAGATACGAATGGATCTAAATCCGAATAAAATCAGCACACGTTTCCGTAAATGAAAGGGTGAGCATAAGCAAATGAATCGAAGGAAGCTGGTCAACTCAGAGATCACCTGTCATTGAGTATTCCGTAAAAGGAGGCCTCGACAGCAGAAAAGCTAAATTTAGAAAAGAGATCCTGTCAGCTTTTCCATTATTGATTTATTGTATTCCACCTAAAATCAGCACACTTTTCGTAAATGAAAGAGTCAACACAAGCAAATGAATCAAAGGGAACTGGTCAACTCACCTGTCATTGAGTAATATTCCGTGAAAAGAGGTCTCAGCAGAGCCGAATTCGCGAAATAAGCCAGGACACGAAATATCCGAAACAGCTCATGCAAGAAGCAGTTCCAAAGAAGGAAGTTCCTCGCGCATGCACATCCGAAAACGGACTGCACTGCATGCAACACAATGTCTGCCGTGCACGTGCACAGCACGCGGCTACCACGCGTTAGTAGATCTAATACCGAGCACCTTACGTAGAACCTTACGTAGCCTAAGTGAAGTACCGAGCACCTTACGTAGAAACTTACGTAGCATAGCGGTGTCGTTTTTTCTGCCATGTGAACACAATAATAGAAAAGCTGACAGGATCGCTTTTCTAAATAATACGGTATTGATATGATCAAGAGTACATAAACCTATTATATACTCTTGATATGATCAAGAGTCAGGGTGCGTTTGGTTGTTACGATCTAGAACAGGATCGAACAGCTGGTGCACACGGCCGGAGCAGCCTCATGCCAACCAAACGGTACTCCAGAAACAGAGCATATTTTTGTGAAAAATATGCCAAACTTGGTGCATTCTTCAAAATGTTTATGGGTCACCATGGTCACTGTGTACGGTACGACGAGTCCAACCCAAAAGCGTATGCACGTGATCATTTGGGACCAAAATCGATATTCCCGCCAGGTTTCACTGTGAAAAAGTGAAACTGCTCGGTCTGCTCTGGCCTCGAGGCCGGAGCAAGCAGAACATGTTCTGGCCGACCCAGAACAGGTGCAGTCCCAACCAACCGCGCTGTTCTGTTGAATCCTGTTCTAGTTCGTACCAACCAAACGCGCCCTCAATAAACCTCTTGATATGATGTGAAGGCCATCATTTACATATTGATATAGGGCATTCCATTGATTGGTGACAGAAAAAACAAAAGAAATTATAGCAATAAAAACTGCTTTATGGCAGTTTTCTAAAAAAAGTTATTGTGTTCTAGTCCATGGACCCCGTCTAAAAAGTAAGAAATTAACGAAATGTGATTGCTGAAAATTAAAATTTCACACAAAACCTCACAATAATCACACACAGAATTAAAAGCTACATGTAGAAGACCTTTTCCCCTCGTGATCCTCTTTCCTATGCATGCATGTTGCCAATTGTTGGTGCAGTACAAGTTAAAGTTGAAAGCAGCATTTCAAGTGTTGTGATTATTGTGAGGTTTTGTGTGAAATTTTAATTTTCAGCAATCACATTTCGTTAATTTCTTACTTTTTAGACGGGGTCCATGGACTAGAACACAATAACTTTTTTTAGAAAACTGCCATAAAGCAGTTTTTATTGCTATAATTAAAGCTGTGTGGACCCTGGCTAGCGCCAGACGTTACTGAAGTAACGTCTTCCGCATAGCTACGGGAATAAAGATTTTTATTATGTGATCTGCTGCTCGGATTATTTAGAAAAGCGATCCTGTCAGCTTTTCTATTATTGTGTTCACATGGGAGAAAAAACGACATCGCTATGCTACGTAAGTTTCTACGTAAGGTGCTCGGTATTTCACTTAGGCTACGTAAGTCTCTACGTAACGTGCTCGGTATTAGATCTACCAACGCGTGGTAGCCGTGTGCTGTGCACGTGCACGGCAGACATTGTGTTCAGTGCACATGCATGCAGTCCGCGGATCCGTGTTCGGATGTGCATGCGCGAGGAACTTCCTTCTTTGGAACTGCTTCTTGCATGAGCTGTTTCGGATATTTCGTCTCATGGCCTGGCTTATTTCGTTTCGGCGCTGCTGAGACCTCCTTTCGCGGAATATTACTCAATGACAGGTGAGTTGACCAGTTGCCTTTGATTCATTTGCTTGTGTTGACTCTTTCATTCAGGAAAAGTGTGCTGATTTTGGGGCGGAATGCAATAAATAATGGAAAAGTTGACAGGATCTCTTTTCTAAATTTTGCTTTTCTGCTGCCGAGCTGCGAGGCCTCCTTTTACGGAATACTCGATGACAGGTGATCTCCAAGTTTACCGGTTTCCTTCGATTCATTTGCTTATGCTCACCTTTCATTTACGGAAACGTGTGCTGATTTTATTCGGATTTAGATCCATTTTTATCTCTTTGCCCTTGTCTACAGTGTGCGAAGAACGCGAGTTCAACTTCTTGACGGTAAGGCTTATGTTAGATGTGTTGTCGAAATACTCATATTCATTGTACATTTTTACGTTACAAGTAAGGCACTGGTCAGTGGCATACTATCGTTGGCAGTTCCCAATCTGGAGGGAAAGGTTCAAGTACCAATTGACCGAGTTTGAAAAATAAATTCGCATATCAGGGGAAATCTCTATTGTGGAGAGGTTCAGTAACTTGTTTGTTTCATACGAAACAAGCCAGTGGGTGCAGTCCCGTCTCGTGAAAATCTCGTTTGCGCGGGCCAAGTGCACGTACGCCATGACCCGATC